GCCCATCTTGTCAACTTAGGCGTCATTCGAGCTTGCGTTTTGAGCCAGCGAAGCGTTTCATGGTCGGAGTATACCTTAAAATGCCTGCCTAGAAGATAGTGTCGCCAATGATTGAGAGCTTCGCGAAGAGCATACAACTCCCGTTCATACGTTGAAGCGGCTACCTTCTCGTTGGGTAATCGGCAAGACATAAACTCCACAGGCCTGTATCCATGCCCATCATCTTGCTGGAGTATAGCACCTATACCATATTGACTAGCGTCAGTTGTGACCACGAAAGGTAGCGAAGGGTCTGCTACTTTCAACACCGGATAATTAATCAGACACTTCTTCAGAYGCTTAAAAGACGACGTGCAGTCTGAATCCCATTTCCAGATTACCTCTTTCTTGAGTAACCTGCGCAGGGGAGCAGCAATTATCGTAAAGTCCCTRACAAACTTGCGATAGTAGTTGGCTAACCCAAGGAACGATCGCAACTCAGTCAAGGTGCGGGGGTTCGGCCAATCTCTGATTGCCGCTATCTTAGTATCTTCCGGTCTGACCCCATCTCCGTCAATCACATGTCCCAAATACAAAACCTGACGCTTAGCCCATTCGCACTTATTCGGGTTTATCTTAAGTTTAGCTTCTCTCAACTTAATTAGGACAAGTCGAAGGTGCTCAGCATGTTCTTTCTCGTTCTTGCTAAAAATCAAAATATCATCGAGGTATATAACAACAAACTTGTCAAGCCACTCGCGGAATAATTCGTTCATCGTTCTTTGGAAAGTGGCAGGGGCGTTCGAGAGACCAAAGGGCAAGACTATAAACTCATAGTGCCCATACCTTGTTCTGAAGGCAGTCTTATGTTGGTCTTCCGGCTCAACCTCAATCTGATGGTAGCCGGATTTCAAGTCAATCTTCGAAAAGACTTTGCTACCCTGCACGCGATCCAACAAATCATCTATTCGCGGTAATGGTTCAGCATTCTTTACTGTTATATCATTTAATCTTCTATAGTCTATACACATGCAAACGCCGCCATCCTTTTTGGGCACGAAGAGCACAGGCGCACCATAGGGTGAAGAACTAGGTCTTATCCATCCGTTTTTCAACAACTCATCGAGTTGGGTTCGCACTTCATCCAATTCCTGGGGCGACATACGATAGATAGGCCCCTTCGGGGGCGCGCTCCCTGGAATAATATCAATGCGGTGGCGGATGGGTCTTTCCACCACTCCGCTTGGGGCCTCAGCCACATCTGCGAATTCCTTCAAGATCCTTTCGATCTCTTGAGATTGGACTTCTTCCTTACTTTCCCCTTCTTTCACTGGGCGCACAAATGCAACAAAGACTTGGCCGTGCAAATTATATTTCTTTACGTGACGGGCGAACGCTGGGGCACTCATGCAACAGTGAGCTAGGCTGCTTTCCTTTCCAGACTCATCGTAGAGACGTATTTTTCTCTTACCGCCTTGCGGACTTGGGAGCCAACACTCACGCTCTCGCAATTTCAGATCCGCACYTGCAGCCTCACCCCAATCCATTCCTAATAATACATCAAAGGGCAAGTCATCTTCCACCAAGAAGGTCAGAGAGTGGAGAACACGTTCCACCTTCCCCTCTGCCTCTAGCCGAAAGTATACTTGTACCCCCTCGACGTACCGATCCATTACGGTCTCAGTGCTATTGGCTAGCTTACTCACTACGGGCTCTTCTAACTTCTTAACCTTAAGCCCAAGACGCAATTTCTGTAGTCCTCTTTTACTGACATAGCTACGGGTAGACCCGCTGTCTATTAGGCCTCCAAYTCGTACGCGATTGATCTCTAGATCTGCAATTATTAGTTGTCCTTTCTTCCTTTTCATTTCAGTCCAGGCTTGGCGACAAGCGGTCAACTCATCACCCACGCCAGCGAGGGATCCATCTAGAGAGGTGCATACGTTTGCCACCTCTGGACAGTGCACTAGATGGGGACTGTCTTCCTTTTCAGTCTCTGCCATTGGAGCCTTCGAATGGGAGGATTCTGGTTTTTCAACATCCGAAGCTCCTGTAGAGGCAACTGGCACCTCTACTGGCTGTTCCCTTTTGCCACCCTGTAGTCGGGGCAATAGGGGACAATGTGGTCGGGGTCCCCACACTTGAGACACTGGTTGGCGTTCAATCTCTCCTGCCACACTTTCTCACTGATTCCCAATTGCTTCCAAGGCTCACCCTCGGGTAGGCCCGGATGTGGTGGGTACGGTTTGTCCCACTTGTTGTACCATGTGCCTCGTCCTCTTCCCCAGGTGGAATAAGAACCACGGCCACCTTGCAAGGGACCATTTCCCCTTCCTCCCACATAGTGGCTCCCGTCGCCACCACCCCTCTGGGTGCCGAATCCTCGTCCACCACGGCCACGACCTCCTCTTCCTCGGTCGCGCCCTCTTCCTTGACGCCCTCCCCCGCGGGCTGCAACAGCCGCGTAACTCCCCTCCTGAGCTACCGGTCTGTTGGGTTCGTCAAGACCATAGTCCACTTGGTCCCAGGAGATGGTCTCGGCGCCTCCTTCTTCAAAGGTCAGAAGGAGACTGTCTTTCCCGAGTATAGACCCCGAGATAGTGCGGTTTTGCCACTTCCGTCCCGCTTGCAGATCCTTCCAGTAATGACAATAATTCGCTTCGGCGAGGAAGCCGGCATGATCGATGGCGATCTTGCCGAACTTCTCATATGTCATGCCGTCCTCTTTCGTGCGGGGATAGAGTTGTGTGCGCAGGGGATCCGGGAGTGCTCGTGCGAAACTGTTAAGGATTTGGGCCGGTGTCAGTCCGTGGTCGGGGCATTGCAGTAATTCATCCATTGTTGCTTTCAGGGCAGAAGTGCTCTTCCATTTGCGGTCAGGGAGGCTGAGGATCAGCATTTCGGTTGGTCTTGCCAAGTTCTTATCCTCAAATCTTTCTCTCACCATTTTCAAAAAGTCCTCAATCCGCGTGCGCTGCGAATATTCCACCATCGAGCCGCACCCCGCCTCCTTTTGCAGCGAGATGACAAAGCTCATAGCATCGCCCCCCATGCATGACGTCGCCATTAGCACCCTGTCCCAGTATGGAATGCGCTGTCCATACACATACGTTTCGATCGCCGCCGCCCAATGCAAAACACTCTCATCCTTTTTCCCATTGTAGGTCCACGGCAATTTCAGCTTTATCTTGCTGACCTGCCCGGTTTCCTTTGAAAGCTTGTCTTTCGAATCCCCATCTCCCTTGCCTTTCTTATCATTGTCTCCATCTCCATTCTCTCCATCGTCTCCATATCCTCCGCCTCTACTCAACACCTTCTTCATTACGGCGGAATCCTTCAGTTGCTTGGTYAGCTGTTCATCCAGTTTCTGGATGCACGTGACCATGTGCTGGTCAACTTCCTGCGCTGAGCGCTGCAAGAAGTTGTTCCACACTCCTTCAAACTCAAACTGGTGATTYTCCAACTTCTGTACGGTCTTTACCAACGCATCGAGCTGCCTGTTGGTATGGAGGAGGGTGTTTGTGAGGAGGGCAAAGCGTTCTTCTGTGGCTGCGTCCGGTTTCTGTTCCCGTAATTGTTTTTGCAACCTCTCCCCCTCTTCTCTCAACCTTTTCTTTTCTTCAAATTCTTGCCGATTTGATGCTACCATCCGGTTATTCAATTCTGCTTTTCGTTCTGCAATTAGCAAATCTCGTTCTCCCGGGTCTGGTATAGCAGCTAGTTTTGCAACAAAAGCATTTCTTTCTTCCTCAGATTCGACTGCCATTACAGTCTTGTAACCAAACTGGTCAAGCTTGTTCATGGGGTTGAGCTCGATTGCAATGCCTTGCGTGCCGCTGCTGCTTTCCCCTCTTTCTGTGCGTTGTCTTTGCAATCTTTCCCCCTCCTCCTCCTCTTCTTCCTCTTCCTCTTCTTCTTCAATTCTCTGCAGCTCTTCTTGGAGCTTCTTCTCCTTCTCCTTCATTTCCTTCTCCAGTCTTTCTCTCTCTTCTTTCATTTTCTCCATCTCTTCTTCTTTCTGTTTCTTTTTGATTTCCTTCTCCTTCTTCTTCTCGGCCAATCTGCGGTCTATCTCCGCCTGTTCTGCCGGGGTAGGGCCGAACTTCACATTCCCAGACCTCAGCATCATGATTACTTCTTGTTCCTGTCAGGAAAGCGGCCCTCAGCCGGTTAGTGAGGCCCCACGGCCTTGGGATAGGAAACAGGTGGTGTTAACTGGCACAGGTAATCCTCCACCAACCCACCACTGTGCTACCCCAGTCAATCCCTTAATTTTT